GTCAACCGTCGTCCGCCGCCCCCTCAGGCGCCGTGGGTGCGGAGCGGCCTCGGCCTGGCCTTGTTCGTTGTGTCCCGGGTGTCCCCGCTGGGGAGCTGCCCGCTTCGTCCCCGGCCTAAAGCCGGTAGTGGCGTCAGGAGCCCCCCCACCGGCCCGGGGGCGAGGTTTCTGTCCTTTCCCTTGCCGCCCTCAGGGTTTGTGCTGCTCGGGGGCCGGGACGGGGGAGTCAGGCTGAGCTGCTGGGCGGTTGGGCCCCACGTACGGACTGGCGGTGTGCCCGGCAGTGCCCTGTGCCCGTGTGGTCGCCTTTAGCCGACCTTCACGTTGTCCTGACCTCCCTGCTGTGTCTGGGGGCCTTGCGGGAGGAGGCCAGGGGCGATTGCTGGGGTGGGTTTGTGAATCCTGACCTGGAGCCCCCAGCTGTGCTCCACCCGTGTAAACTACGGGGCAGGGGTGTCTTCAGCACCGTGTCTCCTCTGCCCCCCAGTAAGCAGGGTTAACCAAGGGCGTGTTTTGTTCACCTTTGCTCAGGTGGCATCTTGCAGGTGACCTGGCCCTCGTATATGAAAATGAGACTCGAGACAGGGCTGCTGGGTGGGTGGATAGAGTGACCACAGGTTACAGGGTGCCGGCTGTCCTGTCATCCGTAAGGTTATTTAAAAAAAAAAAAAAGACTATACCCTGATACTGTCTTTTTAGCCTGAAGACTGCTGCTTAGTCCACAGGTAGCTAAAGCATTAGCCAAAGGCAACTAAAAAATCCCAAGCCCGTTATCAGGAGACTTATATTTGCTGTATAAAGGTGTGCATCTCCAAAAGCTAGGTTTAGGATAAAGAAAATTGACAAGATTGAAAATCAGTGTGCTTAAGCTGGGAATGTTAGGTAACACCAAAGGCAATCGTTTAATATATACACAAACAAAAATTCATGCTGTAAGAAGACAAGCCGAGTGTGAACTCATATGCAGTGAATATACTTCTTTCCACGTTTTTATAAAAATGACATCTATTTTTCATTCTGTTTTTAGGAAGTATTCAACATTCATTAAAATGTCTTCTACCAAACCTCCAAATGAAAATGAAACACCCAAGGAGTGAACCCAGAGCTTTTCATTAAACCTGTAAGAGGCTCATTCTTAGAGAAGCTAAATATGCTTGGAGAGACACGATTGCTTTAAAATAATTATCGCAATCCTGTGTGCATTATATAACTATCTCTTGTTATGCAGACCACTCAGTAATGTAACTAAAAATGTTTTTACTTTTTTTCCGCTCTGATTGTTAAGAGCCCAGAACATTGCATTGTTTATTCCAGCTTTTATTTCACCGTTATATTGTCTGATTCTTTTGTACCTAGCCAAGTTGCTTTCAGCAAGACTGTTTACAGGCATATTACCTGCGTGATCTGACAGGTTAAGCAATAGGAGTCCTCTTTAGTATTTAGAAGGGAACAAATGATAAAATGTAAGCTTTTTGATATGAAAGGAGAGAATTTTTGGTAGCTTTTCAGTATTTTGGATTTTTCTTTCTCTTGCTTTTATAATTAAGTTGATGATACACAAGTTTTATTTACATTAGCAGAACCCAGCAAGACTGGATGAAATTTTATGCATATAATAAAAGTAGATGTTGTGATGACAATACATGATCTGTTTTAGAGGAATATAATCAAGGGTGCTTGGCAGGAGCAGGGTACATTGTCCCAGTAGTATATCCAGATGAATTCTGTTAGAAGTTTGTAATAGTTACCTTTAGTACTTGCTTTTGGCCTGTTCATTCATGCTCGAGCAACATTTGCGACCAGCACAAGACAGAGCACTGGGCAATGCGATGAGAGTCTTCTTTTTCATAGGGAATTCCTTTTGCTATCAGAAAATCGTGTCTCCTTTCTTGCTGCGTATTAAAGTTATTTGGATCAGTCTAGAAGAAGGCAATGACGATTTTTGCAGATGTCACAATAGTTTACTGTTCACTTTCTAAGCTAAGATGGAAGAATGTGATGTTTGTGATGAATGAAAGATGTTTTGACTAAAAATGTACTAATTTTTCTAATTTTTTTTTTTTAATTTATTTTGGTCAGAACAAACCTGTGATGGCATTTGGACTCATAGCAGTTACCCTCTGCGTGGCCTACCTTGGCTATTTGCATGCAACAGTAGAGAATAAAAAGGACCTTTATGAAGCAATTGACAGTGAGGGGTCCAGGTATATGAGGAGGAAAACTTCCAAGTGGGACTGACGGCGTAAGGAAAGAAATCAGCAAATCGGTCACAGAACTTTTCAAGGCAACTGCTATTTTTTTCTCTGTCCATTGAAATAATGAATAAATGTCTCTCTTGCTATTTAATCCAGTTTAAGTTCCTTTATAAAATGCCGTGCCTGTACAAATACATTGCAATTAAGATGCATGCGAACATAAAAGTGATTTTAAGAATTGTTGTCTGCAGTCTCCTCAGTATGTCAGAAGACATGCAGTTAACTCGGACGTGCAGTCAAGACTGGTAAATGCCTTCGAAATTTACATGATAGTTCTGCTCACTTCTCTCTTTGTTTTGATTAAGCGAAAACAGGCGTTTGTCTTTTATTTTTTAAACGGAAGGCATAATGTATTGTGTGTGAAAAGAAAGAGCTGATCTCTTGATCTGTTGAAAGTTGATAATGAACAGTGGTGCCAGTGAAATAATTTTAATGGAAGAAAGATCTGATGAAGCAGTTACGGAAGGGTTTTATTTAATAAAGGAATTTGTAAAATAGTGGCCAAAATAATTCTTGGATGTTAATACACTCTTCCTTACAAATGAAAAACAAACCAGTAGCTAGACAGAGGAGAAAAAGGGAAACGAGTGCTTCTGCCAAGAGAAAGGCAGGAAGAACTCAGCCATTACCTCTCCTGTTGGGCACCAGACAGCAGATCAGTGAACATACACGTATCAGCTTGGCAATCAATATGTATAACTCCAGGTTAGCCAGAGCTTGTGGGCTGTTCTTGACTCGTCAGCAGGACTAGTTTATTTAAGCTGCATTCAAAGATTAAATTTCTCTATATTGTAAAGTACATTATATAACAATTTATTATAGGTTACTGAACTCAAAATAAGGAATGGAAAGTCTAAAATCAACAGGGCCTTACAGACACAGAGAAAAGAACCTATCAGCCTGAACCAGCCCGGTCTTGCCGAGCAGCCCCACCTGTGGGTTGGAGGTGACCCTTGGCCGTACGCCGGTGCCGCTGTGAGTGTGGCTGGAGGGCGGGCGGGCAGGCGGGTGTTGTGGCGTTCCCTTAGCGCCTGAGGTGGTCCCCTGTGAGCCTTCACTTTGAGCAAGCTGTGCAGGTGGGGACTTCGCTGTTCCAGCACTGAGGCCTTCTCCTACGAGCTCCTCCAGCTACTTCTGTGTGCCTGACATTTCCTGGGCGGTATCCCGTTAACCAAACTCCAGAACATGGGATGGGAGGGTGCATACCGGGCTGTGCCCTTTTTCTGCCGTGGACCCTTATTAATATTCTGGTTGCATTTTTCCATTCAGCTCCTCGGGCTCCCAAGAAGCTGAGAGACCTCTTTGTTAACCCTCTTCTGGCCGAGGTGGCTTCTGGCAGGCCAAAGAAGAAAGAACACGCAGGGACACCTGTTTTGCCACTCTGGGAATTGCTTTGGGTTTTGTTATTGGAAGATTTTGTTATTGAAGATAAAAAAGGTAACCGATTTCCTTGAGGGACAGCAGTTCCTCTATGGGATTTCTCTGTATCTCCCTCTAAATCCTTCGCTTTGAAACTGTGGTTTTCCTCTTATCCATGTTTTATAGTTACCTGCATCCTAAATTCAGCTGGACCTTGGTTTAGCTACCTCCTTCCTGAGAAGGGAAGTGAGCTCTACCTTTGATGAAGCTATAAAACAAAAGCATTTTTACAGCCTTTAAAAGCATATTCCCCTCTGTGAGCCTAGCTGCCTCACAACAGCAAGGTCTTGGGCAAATCCGAAAGCTTGCCAGTGAGGAAACTACTTGCCTTTTGATTGGTGAAGGAATTTCCAGGTGAATTGATCGAATATTCAGAATTATCGCATGCCGTGCATATCCTGTAGAATATGTTTTGTTTGATAGGATGTGATGGATCTTTAGAATTAATTGCTCTTTTAAAAAGGGTCACACAGGATTTTAGCTCTCTTCAGTTCATTAAAATGCATGAGTCTTGTATGTTTGCATGAATTTAACTACATTATTCAAAAAACAGTGCTGCAGTAAGCATTTTAACATGTTTTTCTGCAGGCTTTTGAAATACACACTTTTATCCTTCTACCTGCAGATGATTCAAAGTGAGAAAGCCCAGTCTCTCATTTTCACAGATTTGGGGGTAATGCAGGATTTGGGTTCTCAAAATTTTGAATTCTGTTTTGTGAAGTGAACATGGATCTGGAAGTTGCTGAAGGAAAAGGAGAGGGGGGGGAGTGGAAGAGAAAGGCGTGGGACTGACCTGGGCAGGGTCTGGGGGATGTGCATGCCAGTGGCGCTTCACAGAGAAGCTGTCTGAGGTGGGGCCTCTCATCTGTCGGGTGCAGTAAAGTCCTGTTAACCAGGCTAATTTAGAACTGCCCAGGCTGAAGGAAGAGTGAGTATTTAGACTCGTCCTTACTATAAAGGAGCTTCTCCGTACTTATTTGTGGCAGCTGCTGTACAGGTAACTCAGTGCTACAAAAATTACATATCAAAAGGAGATAAAGCAGTGCAAATACAGAGGAATGTAGTAAATTAATGGGTATTATAGTATCTATACTGGCATTTGCTGTTTTAAGTACCTGATTTAGATCATAAAAACTATGTATGTATAGGGTTTAAAGGGGGAAAAAAAACCCACCCAAACAAAACCACATCGGTAACAAAATTTGTTTGCTCAACTCTGAAAGCACTGCTCCCCTCACGCATCTGGAGGATAAGCAAACAGCAGCAATACAATTTCTTTTGTTCCGCTTTTCTCAATTTCATTTTCAATATAATAATTATTCTCTACAATGGATGATAGCTGGCTTGACAGGAACTGTGAGTCAAAATGATTTCCTGGGCAGAGGCTCTTTCACATTTATGCCAGTTCCTTATTGTCTGTGCTGGCTTTCACATCTTTACCAAGAACAGCAGCAAAATGCTACGATTCAAGTATCTGAAACAGCAGCTATTGTCCTGCTCCTAAAATCTCCTTAGACTACGTGGTTTGAATAGGAATTGTTGACATTCAACAACAAAAAAACGCATTAAAAAGCCAAAGCCTGGTTTGACGCTGCTTAACTATTACCGGGGCAAGTGAGTTCTTTGTGAGCAAAGCCAGCCCTGCCTAGTGATGGTTGCTACGTAGGGAGCTGTATTAAGGCTGGAAGGGGTCACTTCATCCAGCCCGCCCTCATCATCTGCCTACGGCATGTTGCTGAGTTGTCAGCATGTGTGAATCCTTATCTGAAGGCAAACTCGGTGAAAAGTAATGATCAATGATTTTTCTCTCTTCCATCGGCTTGCATGTTTTCCGTAGCAACAATAAGTGTTTATGCCTGCAAGCAAGAGATCTATGAGGCATAGAGTTCTGCCATTTTGGTAACTGTATTACGGAGAAATACTGGAACACCACGATGATTAGGAGTCCCGATCTGGACTCCTTTATTTGTTGTGCTGTATGTTCAAAAATAATACCACCACCACCTACCAACGCTACTTTTGACCGGATTCGGGAGTATAAGCCTTTCAGAACACGGTATTACACTCACCGTGATATACTGGGTAAGTTTGTTTCTGAAATCCTTTCCTCACAATCCGAGATTTAGGAAAACTCCAAGAGCTGTTGTATCCATCTGTTCTTGACAGTCATGAAGGCATTCACATCTTGGTAAGAAACAACTGCACTTACCTTCTGAACATTAATAAATCCTGCATATTCAGAGGGGGAGCAGGATCAGCCATCCTGTGGTGCATGAAGGCATTCAGATTTGGGCATAATGAAGTGCAAAACAGAATTAGCTGTAAGACCATTAGCAAATGTTTTCTAAGGCTCAAGTAGCTTGGAAGAACTATGCTTGACTGAACATTTGCAAAGATCATCCCCTCATCCTTCAATGGGACACAGCTGGGATGTTTTATCCTGAATCCTACCTTCTTATACCTGATTCTGGCTGCTGACCTCAGATTGAGGCTCTGTAGAGCATCCTGAGGTTTGATTTTTTGGGGGGCATACCGCATCATAACCTCAACGATGAAGGAAAGCATATGGTAGCATTCATATGTTTGAGGATCTAGCAAGAATCTGAAGTATCTTCATATGCTACGCCTAATTGTCATAGAGGTTTCTGATCAGCAGTGTAAAGTTTTGTAGAAGTCATGTTGTGCATTTTAATTAATGTGCGTTGTGAAGAGGAGTGTGCTTGGTTTCTATTTCAAACAATATTCAGAGATGATCAGTGCACTGAGAGCCCCGGCAGCAGGGTGGGTGCCGTGCATGTCTCAGAACACAAGGCTTCAGCCCTGCGTCCACACACACCGTGTAAAACACGTCCAGAAGGCCAGAGACAGTCTCTTTTTAAATTGTTTTCTCTTTACTGCTTAATATAATGGACTAGGGAAAAGCTATGTGGTCAGAGCACAGCATGCTTGTTGCTAAGATTCATGCGCTGCTGGACTTCTATTTTGCTGATTTAAATCGGTTGACCCCTTTGTCCCATCCTGCTACTGTTTTCCTTGTTACTTCGCATTAGCTCCATGAGAGGACTCTGCCCACCCATGCAGAGTGGGGAAGAAGACGGGAGGGAAAGACGTGAGTGAAAGAGGGAGACTTAATCCGCCCGTGGCTGTGTGAAGGCTGGATCTCCTGTGGCTCTATTCCTTTTTCATTTTCCTTTAGAATAACTCAGGAAGATGTGACTCTTTGGCCCTGTCAACCACAGAGAATGGGATCCAAAGCAATGCCCAGGATTGGCACCGAGTAGGAAAGGCGGAGGGGGAGGATCTGAAATCCCACTGTTGAGGAGGGAGTTTTGGGTGGCAGAAAGGCATCTTTATCTACCTCCCTCGCAGTGGCGTCTCTTCTCAGCAATCCTTGGGGCTGAAGACCGGCCTTTCAAATGAGTTAGCAGGGCTACCTGTTTGCTTTCACAGCATGTCCACAGGAGGAGATGGCGATGCAAACATCTTACCTAGACCCCATCCATGTTGCTAAAGGGAGCATCCATGGCCTCGGCCCGGTGAAGCAGTGTGGCTCACCTCCATGCTGCTTTGCTCCCCCTTTCTAGAATGGATTAGCTGTGCTCCTGCAGCATTGGGGCTGCTTGGGCCCTGGACAGACACAGCAGCCCTAGAGGCAGAGCGATTTTCCTTTGTATGTGCATGCTCTGTTCCAAACACCTGAAATATTCTGCTATATCCCCCTGAGAATATTTATTGTGTGCCTGAAGAGTGGCATGAAGGAATCGGAGGGCATCTTGGGGCG